TGGCCATTCTGTCCGTAGCAATCACAGCTTACATGGGAGAGAGCATCCATTCAGTCTGGAATCTCTCTTTCGAAAAAGCGGACCACTTTTCTTTCGAAAAAAAGCTTCTTCCGAAAGAAGCCTGTAGTTTAGACATAGCCTCTCTCGTTAATGAAACACTGAAGGTCAGATTTTTTAAATTTAATTAATTACTTTATTGGCCAGATTAGGAGCCTACATGCATGCAGTACTGCCCACCTAATCTGCATGTGCTATTACCACAACTGCAGGCAAAACAGGTAACTGGCCAATCGGATGCCTTTAGGGATTTGCTCATCATCAGATGTCTGCACTCAGTTTCGGTAATTGACCTTTTAGAATGCTTAGGGCATGGACTGGAATTAATCCACGTGTCTTGCATTGTGTTGTCAGTGCGAAATAAATAATAATTTCATGAGCAAACTAGCGCACCATTGTTCTTCTAAAGGGTCTGAAGATTGGGCCCCTGAAGCATCATGTTAAAGGGCACAATATCTCTGTTCTGTTACTTAGTCTAGGATGTCATCTTTCTGGGAAACACTGGAAAGCTTGTCTCCCTAGACAACAGAAGTTGTTCCAATAAAAGGGATTATCAACCCAACCTTGTCTCTCTAATCTTTCTGGAAGTTGGTACTGAAGGTATGTGCCTAGATTCAGGACCACTGAGGGAGGCCTGGGGCAATGTTTCCTTCACAGCCAAACCCCTTAATTAGGGATTTCAATTACTAAGCACGAGGGCACATTACTTTGAAAGTAAAAGGGTCTAAAGCAAGCTGCTCCCTCCTCTTTTCACTTGAAATTGCCTTGAGAGCACACCCTTGTACTAGTCACATCTCTGTCTCATTTTCTGATGGGATTTCCTTCATAGCGAACATTTTATTTTTAGAAATATATTTGTTGTATGTAAATGTATATGCCATTTACACAAATTCACTATTTTAGAACAAATATAAGGTGTATCCATATTATTAAGATTGATCATGCAACAAAACTTATTGCAGTGCAATTAAAATATTTCAGTTTAAAATATCTGTTATATATTTAGTTGTATGCCATATGTTTGCAAGATGTGAAACTAGTCAGTCTTATCCCCTATATTTTACATATATGTGTACATTATCTCAGACATTTAGTGTATGGATACTGGCACCATTTTGGGCTTATTTTCATGTCAGGAGCCTTTTCTATTTCATTATTTTCCCACTATGTCTGCCAAAGAGTATCCTGATTATTCTGCGATGCAAGGACCACATTTTTTTTTTTTTTTACTCCTGTTAGCACAATATGCACACAATTGACATCTGGAGTTCCAGAAGTAAAGTCAAATTATGCCCTATCACAATGTGTAATGAGATTGCACAGGTGTAAGGGATAGCAGATCATGGTTTCAAAAACACTTATTACTTATAACGAAGGACAAGGAGGCGAGATCCTGGCTTGCTCTCATTATCCTAGGCTTAGACTGGGGAAACCCTAAATTTTAACTTGGGCCCTGAGAAAGTGTGATCTATAGTCACAGTAAAATTATGCATATGGTGACCATGATGGCATTTTTATAATCTTGACTGGACCAGTACATCCATGGTATGCTCCTGTTCTATGGCTGGATGCATGCAATTCTTAGAACCAAGGTTATGGTGTGAATTTAAATATTCTGCAGGTTTTGCTTAGAATTCATGATTTCACCAAACATTCCTGCCCATTGCTAAAATATGAAGAGAAGTTAGCACTAAATGAGGGCAAGCACAATAGAAGCTTATTCATTTACCTATTTGCACCATAATAATTTTCACTGATTTTACAGCTTTACCCAGAAGAACTATTTGTATCTCAAATTAACATGCAAAACTGTCCAACAGGAGTGCTGTAAATACCCTTCCCTTGCCATGATTGTGCATGTATCAGTGTCTTTAAAGATCCCTTATCTCTTTTTAAATGATGTAAAATGTTTTGTCCTTGATGCAGTTAGGAGTTTGGCTTTTAATGTTCTCCAGAGCTTTGGCTTAATAATACATAAATAAATAAATTGTGCTTTCAGCTGTTTTAGCACATCACCCTGAGTCACTTTGTGGGCTCACCAGCAGGGTGACCAGCAAGACTGATCTGAACTGGGCAGAGGTCCAATAAGGTCCCGGAGACAGAGTAAGCATGGAAAGCCACTCGTTAATGTCAGGGAGAGAAAATGATCCGCCCAAGCCCCCTCCCAGGTGCACTAGCGTGGGAAAGCTTGAGAGTGCATTCCTCAGTAGCAACTGGGGCAGGAAGGCTCAGAGCATCCCAGCCAAACCTTTCACCAGCACTCAGGAAAGGTAAATAAACTTTGGAGACAGGGAATTGGTGGTTAAAGCCCTTGTGCTCCTGAGCAGCTAGGACAGGGGGAAATGTTTACTACAGGAAACAGCTTATTTATTCCTGGACAGTTTTCCTCGGGGCCAACACCTGCCACTGTAAAAACTGGTGTGTTTTTGTTTTTTGTTTTGTTTGCAATACTGGCTTTGAGAGGCCAACTGGGGACAACAGCAAAGCACTGTGAAACCGTCCAGCATTGACATAGTGGACGTGAGAAAAGCTTTGGCATGTGCAGACATGCAGGAAGTACTTTTTGGTTCATTTTAACTATAATTTATATGGTTTGCCTGTTAGCAGTTTTGGCACATGTAGCAGTCAGTATTTGCATTCAGATTTGCCCATACAGATCTGAGAGGCCATCACTGAAAATTCTGGGCCCATGTGAGTAATGAGTACCTTCCTAAACAACTCGGATGTTTGTAGCTAATACAAAGCACATGTACAGACCCTCTAAAAGGTCTGAGGAAACAAAAAGTGTGCAGGAATATAGCAGTCTTACAAGACATCAATGGAAAATGCCTGCATTTTGTCAATAGCAGTTTTACAGCCATTAGCACTAAATCTTACCATAGTTAATTGGGACACAGTACAGCTGCTACTGCTGCCAGGGGACATCAGGCCCAGCATTTCCTGACACAGATGCAACTGCATTAGACCCACAACCTTCCCGTAATCTAGAGCTGATGGTAAGAACAAATGGATGCTTTCCCAATGATACACATAAAGAAGGGTCCTTGCTGCAAAACAGTGCAATTATTATTCAGAGTTATTATAAGACTGCAAGATAGAAAGGAGAAAATGGAAGCAACTACTAATCCAGTGACAGGGATGGGAAGGGGCAATCCTTCACATTTCAAGACAGAATAAATATATAGCTTCAAAGGACTTGATTAGCAGTTGATAAAATTCATTCCAGACTCCTTCAAATGGCTCGGTATGAACTAGGGATGTTAATGGGTAACCAGTGAACCAGTAAGCATCACCCTTAACAGGTGATGCTTACTGGGTGATGGTAACCAGGCCACTGCATGGGGCTGTGCTTCTGGAGCAGCCCTCCGCCATTTAGTTAGTTAACAGGTTAAACTTAATGTTTAACCGATTAACTAAACAGGATTTTACATCCCTAGTATGAACATGATCCAGAGTTGACGTAAGTCAAAGAAAGTCTTTCCACTGATTCAGTGGGCTGAGTAAAGTACTAGATAAGGTGGTTGTTTATACCCAATTCCCCCAGAGCCCCATATGTCTTACCAGGGCAACTGTGGTTAAGGATTCAGCAACTTCTGCTGGCCCACATACTCTCTATAGCAGTGTTTCTTAAACATTTTGAGACCACAGAACACCAAACAATATATATTTTTTTAATGTGGAACACCTATGAACATTTTCTTAAAAAACAAAAACAAAATAGTAACAAAAACAAAGACAAGGTTGCGGCACACCTGCGAATTGTTCACGGAACACCGATGTTCCATGGAACATAGTTTAAGAAACACTGCTCCAAAGGGTACAGCAATGTCCTACAAGGAAAACTGGCTCTGATAAATTTAACATGTGACATCTCAGTCCAGGATCATCTCTCCCTCCCCAACTTCCATAGATCATTGCTGTATCTAAATTTAAAAAATGTTTGTGTATGGCTGTGTGTTTTTAGGGTTTGATTTTTTTAAAATTTAAAAACAAATATAAAGCAGAACAGAGGACAAGTTTCACACAGTGTCTCTCCTCCCCCACTTTACAGATGGGCAGGAAAACATTTCCTCCCTTCTTTCTCTGCAGAGTGTCCATTGGTAGTTTAGATGTAAACCAAAAAGAGCATTGTGGTCACAACAGGGCCATGGCCTACAGATCAAAAGACAGGACTGGGGAGGCAGAAGAGATGGATTCTCATTATGTGATGTTGGGCAAGTCACTTACCTTTTTAGTGGTTTAGTTTCTAAAACACGTTGAAACTCTCCGAGAAAGGGGCAAGTGCAAAGCATTATCATAGTTTGTATTTTACTTTTTGCCATCCGTAGTCCAGCACCTTGAACTTTTTGAGGCTTGCATATTCAAAGAAACAGTAGAACTATTTTGCACATAGATCACAACTCCTCTCAGCATTAGGGATGTAAAATCCCGTTTAAAATGTTAACTTGTTAAACTACGTTTAACTGGTTAACCGGCCCACTGTGTCATGTTGCAGGGGCGGGGCCACTGGAGCAGCCCCCTGCCTGTGGCGTGGTGGGCCCAGCTGGGCTATAGCAGCTCCCACCCATGGAGCACCATGGGACAACTCCAATGAGCCAGGTGCAGTTAACCAGTTACCTCAGTAAACATGCTGAGAAGGCAATGCTTTGTGGGTAACCAGTTAACCAGAAATTCCTTTATATCCCTACTCAACATCAATCCCTTCATGTTTATTAGTTTCATTTAGTCACAATTCTTTACATCACAGAGAAGTCCCTGGCACTTTAAAATGTAGGGACATAGAGGTCTAGTGAAGGACAAAATTCCCGGGGAGGGAAAGAAATGAATTTGGTACATCCATTTTAATTCATACATTCAGCAGATGGAACCTGATTTTACTGCCTAGTGCTTAGAGCTACAGGCCCTAGTACACTATAAACTGCAAGAAAACTAGCCATACTGACCATGCATCTGGTAGGTGTACGGTGCTTGTCCTGTTGTAGGGGTACCAAAAGTAGATCCATAGCTAAGAAACCCACTCTGTCCTGGAGAATGGCTCAGACTATCTTCTGTTTTGATGCCTTTGGAGGATATAAAAGGAACCAAAGGCACAATGTTAGGATTCTGCTTGATCTCATCATACACAGATAACAAAAAATGTCAATGCTTATGACATTTTAACTGTAGTTGGAGCTGGCGAAGCTATTTTTTTAATATTCAGTTTGAATTCAACCGTTTCTATTGGAAAAAAAATCCCAATTTTTTTTTAAAAAATTCATTATTCACTAGCGTTGGCCAAATGTTTTTCTTAAATAATAATATGTGGCCTACATGTTCACCACAAACTGACTGTGTTAACTCCATTAACTAGTCATTATTGTGTAATTGGTTGCCATGCTACAGTTTCTGCTCTTTGAATGGAGGACTAATTTTAAGACAGGAATACAATCTTATCTTACTACACCTATAAAACGTTTTTCCTGTGGGACAACAGAATAACATCATCATGTCACTCTGTGTCCCAGAGGAACATGCTCCACCTCTTCCCCGCAGCCTGGCCCTTCCCAGGGCCTACCTGGAAGGCTGGGACTCCCTACAGGCCCACGCTCCTTTCCCTTTCCCAGTGGCTGGAGGGAAAGCTGGGTCCAAGGCCCAGCACGGCTTAGGCCTGGCCCCTCCCAGTGGGACCATCCGGTCCCTCCCGGCACGCGATGGGAAAAACCAGGCCTGACCCAAACACTGAGGTTAGAGCCAGGCCTGGCACGTGCTGCCACTCAGCCGCTGAAGTAATGGTTAGGCTGTGGTGGGGGTGGAGAAGGGACCCTGGTTGATGGGAGGGGGGTGCAAAAGGGGAGGAAGAAGGGACCCTGGCTGGTGGGGGGAATAGCAGGGAGGGAGAAGGGGGCCCTAGTTGGTAGAAGAAGGAAGAAGGGTAGGAGAACAGGTGCCCTGGGCTGGTGTGGCAGGGGGAGGGAGAAGGGGCAGTGGGCTGGCACACCCACAGCCAGGCCCTCTCTGGTGGCCTGAGGGAGAGTCAGGGCTGCCTGCCCCCCGCGACAGGGGGGATGATGAGCGCAGTGAACGCAGCCTCCTAGTAATAAGTAATCCACTTTCCAGAAAGATTTTCTGGGGCAACTATACACTTGTATCAAATGTCATTGAATTTTTGCAGTTCTCAAAATGCTGGTAATTTGGTCATATGAATTATGATAAATTAAACTCAATTTCTTCTATTCACGCAAACATTCAAAAGTGTAATTTTTAAAATTATTTCATTAGCTCCATTTAGAACGAGATAACACAATATTCGTCAGCAGGTCATATTAGAGGTATATCAGTTAGGCATGAACACTAGATAGTCACATATAGTAAACAATTTCAAAGCTGATCAATGTGCAAATCCCTAGTCAAAACCTCTCAGGGTATGTCTACACTACAATGCTAGTTCAAACTAACGGACGTTAGTTCGAACTAACATTCATAGCCGCTACACTAGCACTCCGCTAGTTCGAATTTGAATCGAACTAGCGGAGCGCTTAGTTCGAACTAGGAAAACCTCATTTTACGAGGATTAAGCCTAGTTCGAACTTACTAGTTCGAATTAAGGGCTGTGTAGCCCCTTAATTCGAACTAGTGGGAGGCTAGCCCTCCCCAAGTTTCCCTGGTGGCCACTCTGGCCAACACCAGGGAAACTCTAT